TTTTCCACTCTCTGAGCCCCATATGGCAGGTCAGTCTCATACCTCAACCACCCAGTCAGGCCACCAGAGGCACCTGGCAACCACCCTAATCTACCCAGTCACTCACCCTCTTCTCTGCCAGGTCCTTCTCCTTCTGCAGCTGCCGGCTCCTCTCAATCCAGGCCGCAGTGTCATCCAGCCAGGGGTCATCCTCCCCCAGCGTCTTTATCTTCCTGACCATGGAAGAAAGTCATGCTCTGAGAGCCCATCTCCTGTTCCCCTACCCCAACTCAAGAGGTAGCCAAGGATGGCAGCCCCATCAGTGCTTCCTTGCCCACCCTAGCTGGGACCATCTCACCCCAGCTTTTGGTTCAGCAGGCGCTTTTCTTTGGCAGCTGCCAGCTTCTCCCGTAACTCCTCACGCTGTCGCAAGGCCATGGGGTTGATGACATCGGCTGTCACGGGCTCCTCTTTGGTGCCCGCCTCTGGAAGGGGGGCCAGACGTGAGGCTATGCCCGCCCATGGCTGGTGGGAGAGGAGGGAGCCACTCACCCTGCCCCCTTCTAGCTCAGGAGGCCAGAAGGGCCAGGAGAGTGGACAGAATCCTTCACCTCCCTACTCCCACCGTGTTCCCACCCTCCACATCACCCCATACAATCCAACAGGATTCTGTGTCCTCCATAGCACCTCACATCATGCTTTGAAGAAAAATAACAAACCAACCCCTGCACAGCCCAGTGTAGCAACTGTGCACATCCCTCAGCCCATCTAACACCACCTCACAACCAGGGTGAGTATGTGACGGCCAACTGCTCCAACTCAGAGAGCAAGCAGAGTCCCAGATCCCCACTGTTACAGCAAGGAGGGGCCGCGTGGCTTCTGGTAAATAAGCATGCACAAGACTCACTACATGATGCTGAGTCTGTACTCTAACCCCACTTTCTTCAAAGACCCCTTCAGATGGCCTCTTTCCCCCACCCAAACCCTATCCTAGCCTTATACTCACCCTTTTTGACAGCATTGACCTCTAAAGGTTTCAGCCCCAACTTTGCCCGGAGTTTACTGAGGACAAGAGACACAGTGTTAGGGGTTATCAAAGAAAAGGGTGTCAAGTACACTCCTGGACAGAGAGGTGAAACAGAGTGGAAATGAGTGGCCCTAAAGGTTCCAAATGAAGGTCCTGACCCAGGCAGCCTAGGACATTCAGAAGGGCATTGCCCTCCAAAGCAAGGAGCATGGGACTGGCCTGGCCTCACTAGTGAAGGCCACCCTTCCTCTTACAACTTGGTTTCCTCTTCTATAATTCAAAGGCTGACTAAGATGACTTATACAGCCTTTCAAAATCCAATCAGCAGTATGAGAAAGCCTCCCCGGTAGCTTGCCCAGAAGCTTCCTATCTCAAAAGGAAAGAAACACAAGGGAGATAGTACTTACTTGGTCTCCTCGATGCTGAGTGAGGAGGCATCTCCTGAACTAGTTTTGGAGCTGGCAGCTGGAACAAGAACACCATAGCTCAGGAGCTGAACACAGGGCCAAGAAGCCAACATCACTGGCTCAGGCTGCAGGGTCAAAGAACCACTCCCCAGCACCTGAGCCTGCTAAGACACCAGAAAACAGCAACCTTCTCCATCTGAGCTCCCCAGAAGCTCTTCTTGCCTGAGTTTAGTCTCAGAGCCCTGCCTCTTTTGTATACCTTCCTTCCCTAACCCGAGAGATCCAACTTCCTGCAGCCTTGACCTTGCCCTCTCTATTTTTTTTTTTTTATGTGACAGAGTCTTGCTATGTTCCCCAAGCTGGTCTTAAACTGCCTCACACAAGCCTCCTACCTCAGCCTCCTGATCAGTTGAGACTACAGATACCTGACTGCCCTCTCCACTTTTGTATATTCTGTCTTCAACCTCAACTGTCTTCACTGGTCTTAATCTGACTAACAAAATCCCATCTAAATGCAAAGGTCAAACACTACTTCCTTCATGAAACCATTTTCAATTACTGCTCAGAATTAACTGCTCTCTCCTGAACTCCACAGCACCATCAGTCACTTCAGCTGTTTCTTCCCACAGGGCAGGGAATTGGGGAATGAGGGAATGTATTGGAAACATGACGATGTTCTCTGTGTAATTTATGCAGTCAAAAAACTCTTTTAGGTACCTGCTCTGTGCTAGATTTTGAGGAGAGAGATAAGTAAGACAGATAAGGACAGTAAGATAAGGACAGAGATAAGTAAGCATTTTGGATCTCCTCCACACACCTCACAAACAGAAAGTCACTTTATTGTTGTAGCCTCCTTTCTTGAAGCCTCTTCCTCTGCCCACTACTAAAGTATTGGCATTTCTCAGGTTCTATTCCTGACCCTACCCTGTCACTCTACACTCTGTGGGCTTCACTGGCCACCTAAATACTCATAACTCCCAAACTCCTCTATCCAGCCCAAACCCTGGGTTTCACCAGGTACATCATTCTTAACACTGTCCAAAAATGAATTCATTCCCTGCCCCCCAAATTTGCTTCTGAAACTCCTCAATCTCAGTAGATGACATCGCAACCCACCTAGCTGCTGAAGCCAAAATTCAAGGAGTCATCCTCTGTTCCTTCTCTCCCTTATCCAAGCACTAAATTCTGTTAATTCCTCCTCCAAAACACTTCTTCAGTCTGTCCACTTCTCTCCAACTCACTGCTGCTGCCTCAGTGCAGGCCACAATCCCACCTTCACCCCACTACAAACCTCTTGATTTCCCAGCCTCCAATCCTGAAGACCTTTGAGCTCCCAATTTAGTCATCTTTACAAATGTGAATCTGAGCAACTTACTGCCCGACTCAAACCCATGGCTCGCTACTACCATAATGACAAATCTAAGTTTCTTTTAACTACAGTACAAGATCCTCCGCGTTCATAACACTGCCTGTCTTCCTGCCTACGTGATTCTCTCCACACCAGGTTTTCTCTTGCCTCTGTACACTTATTCATTCATCCAATACGTTTAGTGAAAGCCTATAATGTACCAGCAAATGTACCAGCAATTAAAAACAAAAGACCGCTGTATTCGTGGACCTTACTAGAGAAAACTCAACCTTTAATCCCAAATAACCGTAGGAAAGCTAACTTAAATGCTCATGATGAGAGCCTGGAGTACTTCGCAGGCACTGAGGACCCGCACACTCGAGGCCCGCACTCCCCGGGACTCCCACCTGCCCCGCCCCCTGCACAGGCCCCGCCCCTCACCGGCCTCATAGCCGTCATCGCGCTTCTCCCGCTTCACGCGCCGCTCAGAGGGCTCTGCCTGGCTGCGATCCCGCCCGTGCGCGCTGCTCCGGGCCTCGGCTTCGGCCCCACGCCGCCCGCTTCCGCGGTCGCTTCCACGCTCTCGGCTCCGCTTCCGTCGTTCGCCGCCGCTGCCACCACCGCCGCCACTCCGGTGCTTGTGCTTTTTGTGTTCCCGGTGCCGCGACTGCTGCTCGGTGGCGCCCCCGGTGCCGGCTGCCGCCGTCGTCCCGGCCGCCTCCTTGTCTCCGCGATGCTTCTTTGAGGACCCCATCGCGGTACGCCTAGTCCGAGCCCGGCCGCCGCCGAGACCCGACGACGCAAAATGGAAACACTTCCGGGTCGCTCGGCAGCCGCAGTCGTGTTGCCGGAAACCAAGAGTGGCTGCTTCCGTCGTTCACCTTGGAGCCGGCCCCAAAGGCCTTTGGGAAGGCCGGGATCCGGGCCCAGCCGCTCGTTCGCGGCCGCCTGGGGCCTGTCACCGGACTTACGCTGGTGGTTCAGTTGCACCTCCACCCTTGGGAAGAAGACCGGGTCCCAGAACTGTAAAGGTCCTCGAGGCCTTTTAAGCCACCCCCGGAACTGGAAGCCTCTCGGTCTCCTCCGCCTGCACTCTCCCAGTCCCAGAGTGTTAACAGCTTCACGGTCTTTCCGTGGACAGCTTGCTCCTCTCCCATAGCGCCCGCCTATTGGACGCCCTGGGGTCGTGGCTCCATAGGGTTTAGGAAGATGGAGCATGTTTTCCTTTTTCATGAGACTTGCCCATTACCCCCACCCCCACCCCACCCGCCCGCTTTCAGTGCCCTATAATTGGTATTATCAGCAAACGCCTTCCCTTATTCCCTGGATTGGTGTTTAAACCTACGCCCTGTAGCCTGTTAAGGAGCTCCAGATGAGCTTCTGTGTGTCTGTGAAGCCCCAGTATTGAATACAAAATTTGTATTCAAAGCTCTGTATGAGCTTTTGGGTTGGGTTTGGTTTGGTTTGGTTTGGTTTTGAAGGAAAGGGGCTCTAAAACTACTGGGACCTAAAAGCCCAAGTCACACAATCCCTCCTTCTACCCGAGAGTTGCTCAGTGTGGGGAACGGGCTGTGAAGTGGCAGGGCCCCCCAACACACACACCCTGGGAGATGCTGAGGGGGCGGCCCCCCAGCTGCTCCTCCTTTAACAACATTCTTTTCACCTGCCGGAAGTCATGTAGCCCCTGCATACTTTCCTTATTACAGCTTTCCTCCTTACCCCAGGTGTTAAGATTTACCTTGTTAAAGATACTTTATAAATAAAGCTGCTTTCACAATTCGGTGCTGGGTGGCCCAATGGCCAGCCCTCTCCATCCTAGCCTATATTATGTCTCTTACTTGTCTTTCTAATTTCCCACCATTTCTACTTAGGTTATCTCTTCCTCTCCACACTGGTTTGCGAAAGCTCAGCCTGCTGGCTCCTCCCGGTGTGGCCCTTCTCAATAGGTGTTATACTCGCCCCTTAAAAAGTCCTCTTCCCTCTCCCACTGGACCCAGAGTCCTCAAAGGCCTGGGCCATTCTTTCCTATTCGCTCTCAAATTTCTAGGACCCCAGAAGTAGAGAAGGGACTGTGTGTGCTGGGCAGGGGACAGCCAGAAGAGCCAGAACTCTTGAGGAATGTGGGGACAAAGTTAAGTCTGATGCCCACCCACCTGCCACTTCCTATTCCCAACCTGCAGCCTCCCACCACCACCAGAAATCCCACGCTGTATTTGCCTTAAAGCCTTTAATTTTTCTCTCAGGATCTGCACTGTGGGTCCAGGCTGAGGGTGATGTGCCTGTCGGGCTCAGTGCTGGTGGGTTCTGTCCTTGGGGGGCTCTGAGAAGAACGTTCCATTCTCACCTCCATTGACTTGTGGCTCCTTCAAGACACAGATAGAAACCACTGGGCTCTGCAGCTCCCACTCCATGCCCAAGGAAGTCACTGACAATGCAGGTTCAAATCTAGCTCCTATACTAGCTTGCAGTGGGGCCCTGGGCAAGTGACTTCTTCAGTCTCAGTTTTCTTATCATGAAGGGAGCCTCATAATCCCTGCTCTGTACCCAGTCTTCTGAGAAGTAAGAGAACGTATACGTGGGTGTGACCCTAATGAGGGCTTTGTGTGTGGCCACTCAGGAGGTGATTGATGACACAGTCCCAGACTGGCTTTGCTGCCTATTCACGCCTGTGTCCTTAAGCAAGGCACTGTTGCTCAGGTT